TCATTAATTCTGTTTTCAGTTAATTACCTTGGCGTTGAAGGAAGAATCTAGGAGAATATTTGACGATTTAATATCTCTGTGGATAACCGGAGGACGACAACGCTCATGTAGATACTCGACACCTCTGTTTCCAAAAGTAAAGGACGGTTTACCTAAACCATGATTAATTAAACAGTAGAGAAAACCGGAAAGGTGGGGCTCTTGATTGTTACCTTGCTGTATCAAGAGCAATCTTCATCCGCATGTGCCATGTTAAAGCCGATCCCCGAGAAGGTCCTTAACCATTTAATGATGACAAACATTAAATGTTATGACTATATATATAGAACAAGAAGTTATTTAATTAAACCATTTTCATGTGGTCACATGAGATGTTTTGTTTTTCATCTCATCATCCCCCATATGTCCCATGGTCTAAAAGTAAGATCAATTTCTTTTACCGTGTAACTGTGCATCCAAAGATCCCTTTTCCATCAGCTCGTAAACGATGAAGCTCGAGCCTATTTCACTTGTATATCCCAAAAATGAGATGATGTTCGGATGGTGAATCTTGCTCAACAGATCAACTTCGTTCTGCAAAATGATAGAACTGGACTCAGGCTCTTGAATTAAAACTAGGTTGGACTTGTTTTTGTTACCTGAAACTCTCGTTTTGCTTCTTGGCTAACGTTTTCGATTTTTTTGACCGCTACTAGAGTGTGATTGTCTAAGGAGGCCTTGTAAACAAGTCCGAACCCGCCTCGTCCTACAAGATTACTGTCTTTGAAACCGCCTGTCGCTTTCTCTAGTGTCTTGTAATCGAAGGACTGCACAAAACCCTTTTTGGGTAATGAAATCCCACTCTCTTCCACATATACAAAACCATTCAGGCATCAAAATCTTGTAACAAGTGTAATTTGAATATTTTTTCATTCTTGAATTAGTATGGTTAATAATAAAGATTTATTTACCTGAGTTTTTGGTGGTTTTGGGAGATTGGTTAGACCGATAAACAGCCCAAAAGCATAAACAACAAAGAACTATAAGTCCTAGCGACGAGGAGCTGATTATAAGAGCGATTAAAAGTTTATTGTGTTCTTGGCCTCTACCCATTTTGATTCCTGAGATCACAAAAAAAAAAGCAAATAAAGAAACCTTGTTTAGATTTGTTGAGATTAAGAAGGGAGATTACTTGGGATACTAATTGTATAACTGATGAGAGGATACGTACAAGATAAGGCACTCCACTCAAGGTAGCAGCTCAAAAATAGCATTTACGTATATAAATTTATGTTACTTTATCAAATATCAACACACATCAATCCCCTCCCCACAATAAAAAAAAAGAAAATAAAATGGAGAGAGATACCTGGAGAGAAGGAAGCCGTGGAAGTGTAAAAGGGAGAAGGAGAAGGCTGTGAAGCAGGTGGATAAAACGCAGTACAAGCATAAACACTACAGAGGAACTGAACAACCAAGACCTTAAGAAGTATATGAAGAATCTTCCTCATTTGCTTAACAAAATACTTTCAGATATGATTCACTCTCCAGACTTGTAGTTGAAAAGAGAGACTGATGAGATCTTAGAGATTTACAAAGAGAGTGTGTGAGGAGTCTTTATCTCTCACTAATGGGGATCTCTTTTAATTTCATTTCCTTTTCTTGTGTCTGCATAAAAGAGGGAAAGAGAAAGTGGTTTTACAAAAAAGTCGAAATCATTCTCTTAAAGTTCTCTACTTCTTTATCATCAAATCTAACATGTGGGTTTGAATGTGATAGTACTTGTTACAACAAATATCTTTATTACATAACGAACCAATATAGTTCAAACACAATTTATACGAGAGTTTGCAACATATATGTTGTTACTGATCATTTACATTGGACCACTAGTATCTTTTTCAAGTTAAAAGATAATTACAAAATTTAGAATGGTCATATGATCATGTGACCATTTCATGAAAGTTTGTAGCCTGAAGAATAGATTTACTGACCGGATAACGACAAAAAAACTTGACTAGTTATGTCAAACCGACAAAAGAAAGATGCTTTCCCGTCCAAATTTTTAACTATTTGGTGGTATTTTTTCCCCATTAATGTTCAACTGTAGATAAACTTTCTTTTCTTCTTATTTGTTTTCCTCATAAATACAGCTTTCTCGGAGTAACAAACAGTTGTTTATGTAATGATTAATGAAGATGCCAATACATAAAGATAAAGAGACACTCTTACACTTTTCAGAAGTCAACGGATCTAAATATAAAGTAAAAACTAAACTAAACACAACAACGCTTGTGGAAGAAAAAATCTCGCAAATGTTGAATCTAGAATGAGTGTAGTAGACATAGTGAAACTAACTGCACTCTTCTATTTTTTATGTTGGTGGGATTTACGTTATATTTTTCGAAATAAAAATATATTTAACCACTCTAATGCTTAGATATACTTTTTATGCAGACAGAGGGATGAAAACCATACTAAAACAACTATAACTAATTAATCAATAAATTGTAAATCTAAAATGATGTTTTTAATGTATGCAATTTACATCTATAAGTTATATGACATATGACTCATCAGTGATTCGTCATGTATAAACTTCAGTTGTATCATATAATTTTTAAAAATCAACATCAATTGACAGATACAACAAGGACTAGACTTCACATGCAAAACCCAAATGCAACCATAAGACTAATATGGCAAATAGCATGATGCACATTATACGGGTGTGTAAATGTCTAAATGCTCTATTTGAGAAATGTCCGCATGCATGTGGCACAATTTCAGTTGGATGGTGATCAAGTTGACCTAGAGGACGGACATGTGAAATTGAATCAAAAGCAAGGAAAAATGAACTAAAAGGAGAGCGAAAAGTTGAAACATTCTGGACCGAATTTGTTGAATTCCATGTAAATCCAAAGTGTGAGTTATTTGAGTTTACTTGGATCAGTTTCTAGTCATATATGAACAACTTTTGAAGTAACCATTCTCATGTTTTAATACGTTTGCATGCAAATCGCATTCGATTTTTGCTATAAATTGAAACAATGCATTAGTTAATTAGTAGGTTTTTATTTTCCTTTTTGACATCAATTAGTAGGTTGTTGAAAGGGGGTTTCTGTGATCTTTTAATTTAATTGTGGTTTTGAATGATTATAGACAAATTGTATAGGGATAGTCACAGATTTTTAATTAGCATTGGCAAACTAACTATATGTTATATTGATGAATAGAGATCAAATATCAAATATATGTTCGAGTGGCTAGACTAGTCACTAGTTAGGGGCCTTAAGGCTAAGCCATTTCACTTTCTTAAAAGCTCGAATAATATTTAATCGAACCCGTTCATTGTGGGTTTAGACTCATATGTTCAAAGGTTTGCAACTTCATTGGCATTAATTAGTCAAAATGGTTCGACTATTACCACCACGTGAAACCATTAAATTGCACGCAATTTTTCTCTCGATTAAATCAAGCAAACTTCACAAATTTGCAAATTTATTGACTATGCAAAGTTAGGTGAGAATAGCAAATGCAGCATGCAATAACGATTAGATTAGAGCATGATTATTGCAGGTCCCTTAAATTGAGTTTCTTAGCGTATAATCCCTTAACTTTTGATTGAAAACGCTAAGGGACGTCCCTTATATAAGGGATTTAAAAGACGTTCCTTAGCGTTTTCAGTTAAAAGCTAAGGGATCGTACGCTAAGGGATCCAACTTAAGGAACCTGCAATAAACATGGTCTTAGGGTTCCGTTTACCAACTACTCCGGATGTAAACAAATACTAGATCTCAAACCGCGCAATCGCGCGGGTATTTTTCATTTATTTTTATATAAACATTTTGTTTTTACTTCTAATTAAATTGGTATATAATATAATGTGTGTATATCGAAAATGATGATTAATTATTATATAGCATAGATTAATTATTGTTAGAAAATGATGATTTTGTTATTTTTAAAAATAAACTATATAATTTTTAAAGTTAACATCGAAAATATATAAATAATTAATTTATACTATTACAACATTAAATTATATAAGTTTAATTTAAACATATATTTTATTATACTATCAATAAGTCCAATGGATCATCTAATTTTTATTAGCCCAATAAAAATTTCTGTTAAACCCAATAAATGTTTTTAGTGAATCTAATGAATATTATTAATGATTGAATTATGTAATGTCACAAATTCTATTAGATAATCCACATTTTAAAATATCACACATGAAATGAAGTCATAACTTCTCTTTTAATATATAAGATTTTGGCGACCATTTCTTTGATTTCAAACGTTGTTATCTTTTACCTATTCCTCGAAACACAAGTATTTTAATTGTTTTTAGTTTAAACATACATATATGTTCATCTGCCCACCTAAAAATCTAAGTCTAATGTACATGAATATATCTATCAAGAATTAAACAAATGCAATGATATGTATTGAAAGTTTTAGTTCAAATGTTAATAAATACAATTTTATATCACGTGAACACGCTCGATGTTACATGTTACATTTCCTGTTAGAATTATGATCATATCGATAAGTTAGAACATTTGATCATTAATTATTACCATCACGTGTTATATACTAGTTACTGGGGCATAATATAAAAAAAATCATTCGGATATACTAACATTTGTATTTTATGAATAGTGTATGAGTAAAGTTTACTCAAAGGTAAGGTTTCCTTCCAGATTTATTATATACGTCTAAATTAATGTCTCTAACCCAATGATTCTTATTTGATTCCAAGATTTTTAAGTCTGCTGACTGACGACAGCAGTATTGAAAAATGACGTCATAATATATTTTTTTCATTGAAAAATTAGCATCGAACGGTTAATATTTTAATTCATATGAATCGAAGGGTGGTAGTTTCTATATCTTCGCAAGACTTTTTCTTGTTGTGTTAATGGCGATTCCTCTTTATTTACACCACCTTGCCTTCATTATATTGAAATTGAATGACCACTTCTTGTTGTCTTTATAGACCAATCTGAGGACACTCTCGATTTCATCGTTCACTTGGTCAACTCTGACTTTGAGTTGTTCGAACTTTACTTCATCTGCGTCACAAGCGTACGTTGTTCTTTCCCAACGAATCTGCTCGATCGATACTCCAAGGTAAGGACGATTAACTCTCCGGTGATTATGCTCTCATTATTCGATTAGTGTTTGTCATACAGAAGCTTGACGATTTTAATTGTTTAAATAGTTTTAATTTTTTTTTTATTGGTTTACTTATTTGGTATATAAATGCATGGTTTTGTCTGAAAAAAACGCCGTAGATTTCGGACATAAGTTTGTCTATCTTCGTGACTCCTCATCTCACGTGTTTTGGATAGATTGATTCTGCTGCGCCTTTGTCTGCATTCTCCGTTCCGGTCAACGATGGAGTCAACAAAGGTTTGCATGAACGCACAGTGTAGAGCGGCCTCTACTTCGGGAGAATGGAATAGAGGCTGGCCTATGAGATCCGGTGAATTTGTCTCTCTCTGCGATAAGTGTGGGTAAGTGAATCAGTCACTCACGAGATGACGCTTAAGTAAAGTTTTATATTTTCATTCAATGTTGGTTTTACTTTTTTTTTTTTTTTTTTTTTTTGTTAATGACTTAATTCTCGTGAGAAGGTCCGCTTACGAGGAATCAATTTTCTGCCAAGTGTTCCACGCAGAGGAGTCTGGTTGGAGAGTGTGTAACTCATGTGACAAGGTGAAGCAAAAAAAAAAAGGCATGTCTTAAACGTGTTTTGTGCTCAACATATTCTTGATACGTTGTTTGTGTGTTTTTATCAGCGTCTTCACTGTGGATGCATTGCTTCTAGATTCATGTTTGAGCTTCTAGATAATGGCGGTGTTACATGTATAAGCTGCGCCAAAAAATCTGGACTATTCTCTGTAAGACTATAATCATCTTTTGAAGGATGCATTCATGGTCTTGATTCTCTGTCAATCTCTCTTACAGATGAATGTGAGCCACGAGTCCAACGGTAGAGACTTCCCTGCATTTGCTTCAGCAGAGTTTGCAGGCAATCTCAAGAACTTGCTTCATTTACAAAGAATCGGCGCTTCTCAGTCTTTTCTTCACATGAAACAAGAAGAGTCTCTGCTTCCTGCAAGACTAGATGCTCTTAGACACAACTCAGAGAAGAAAGAGTTGCAGGAATCATCTACACAGCCAAACTTGAGCATTTCTCTTGGAGCTACGCTTATGACAAGCCCCTTTCATGATGCTGTTGTTGATGACATAAGTAAGACTACTCCAATTTTCCAACTGGCCTCTCGGTCCAGACAACTGCTGATGCCAAAACCTGCAAACTTAGCTCCTACTGCTGCTGTTGTTGGTAACAGTAGTACTACTCCAATTTTCCAGCAGGCTCAACGGTCCATACAGCTGCTCATGCCAAAACCTGGCAACACAGCTCCCACTGCTGCTGGCATGGAGCCTAATGGGAGCCTCGTGTCACAGTCACAGATTCATGTAGCTCGGCCTCCTCCAGAAGGTCGCGGAAACGGGAAGACTCAGTTGCTTCCTCGTTATTGGCCTAGGATTACTGATCAGGAGCTGCAACAGTTATCTGGAAAGTATCCTCATCTATATGTTTCATAACATCGTCTTTCAAGTTTCTTATTCTAGCACTATCCTTCTATACTAAGGAGTCCTTGACTCTATTCTCTCAAGCTCAAATTCAAAAATTATACCACTCTTTGAAAAAGTTCTGAGTGCAAGTGATGCGGGTCGTATAGGTCGACTGGTTCTTCCTAAAGCATGTGCAGAGGTAACTTATTTGAGATCCTCAAAATGTAGCTATCAGGGAATAACACTTTATGGTGGTGTGTAGGCATATTTCCCTCCCATCTCTCAACCAGAGGGTCTCTCGTTAAAGATACAAGACATAAAAGGGAAAGAATGGGTGTTCCAGTTCAGGTTTTGGCCTAATAATAACAGCAGGATGTACGTTTTAGAGGGTGTGACTCCTTGCATTCAGTCCATGCAACTGCAAGCTGGCGATACTGGTACCTTTAAAAAAACTTTTATTTCATTACCTATACCTATAGCATGTTGATGGAATCAAGAATTGGCATTAAAGCGTTTAGTTCATGAAGACAATGAAATACATTCTAAGAAGAGATGAATGGTACTTTTTTATTAGGTCTGATGATGTCATGTTCTTTGCAGTAACGTTCAGCCGCACGGAACCTGAAGGAAAACTTGTAATGGGATACCGTAAAGCGACAAACTCTACAGCAACACAGGTAAAAGAATGCCAACTTCATGTTGAAATGATTATAACAAACCAAAAATGCATAATAAGGAGGGAGTTATCCCCTTAGGCATAAGAATCTGTCACTGTGAAGTGAATTATTGAGTTTAAAAGTATCATTTGCTGTTTCTTGAGGTGTTCAAGGGAAGCAGCGAACCCAATCTGAGCTTGTTTTCCAACAGTTTGAGCCCGGGATGTGGTGAAATCAACTGGTCTAAACTTGACAAGTCTGAGAATATTGCAAAAGATAGTTTAATGCTTCAGCCGTCCTTAGTTTCTGCTAGGAAACGGGTTCGGAACATTGGAACTAAGAGCAAGCGACTGCTCATTGATAGCGTAGATGTTCTGGAGCTGAGACTAACTTGGGAGGAGACGCAGGAACTGCTCAGACCGCCTCAATCCGCCAAACCAAGCATATGTACGGTGGAAGATCACGATTTTGAAGAATATGAAGTGAGTTGCTGTTTACTGGTTTACTTCTGAAACGTAGATGGACCGTTGCATTGTTTTTTTCTCTCTGAAATTATGTACTTGATGCTATGCAGGAACCACCAGTGTTTGGGAAGAGGACAGTTTTTGTGTCACGTCAAACAGGGTGAGGCCTCATGTACTATGTAATGATAGGATATGAAGAATTATCAACGTTTGGAATGACCAAAGAATATGACTATTTGGTTCTCAGGGAACTAGAGCAATGGGTTCAGTGTGACGCCTGTGCAAAATGGCGACGCCTGCCTGTGGATACTCTTCTTCCACCAAAGTGGTTGTGCTCAGATAATCTCTTGGATACTGGAAGGTAAAATGAGATTACATGAATGTTCATGTCCTTAATCCTCAGTAGCTTTCTCCGTAAATAATTGATACAATCTAATTTCGGCTACTCATTGAGACCGGACACCTGAAAAATCTGAGTTGCTGTTTCATCTGTAGGTCTTCATGTTCTGCGCCTGATGAACTCACCCCAAGAGAAAAGGATACGCTTGTACGGCTGAACAAAGGTATGGTCCTCAACTATTATAGCTCTGTTACATTAGAAGCTTCTTAACAGAGAAACTGAAGTATAGTTTGCACAGAGTTCAAAAGGAGGAGACTGGCATCATCAAACGAAAAATTAAACCAGGAGCAGGACGCATCTGCTCTAGATCATCTAGCAAATTCCATCACCATGACAGGTGAACAAAGGGATACGGAGGTTGCAGCCACGACCAAGCACCCAAGACACAGGGCAGGGTGTTCATGCATTGTCTGCAGCCAGCCGCCTAGTGGGAAAGGCAAACACAAGCCCTCATGCACTTGTACTGTGTGCGAGGCAGTGAAGAGGCGGTTCAAGACGCTCATGATGCGGAAGAGGAATAGGGAAGAGGCAGAGCAGGCAAGCCAGCAGGCTCTGTCAGAATGCAGAGATGAGACAAAAGTGGAAAACGTTCCAGCTGTTGAACCAGTAGCAGGGGGAAACATTGACTTAAACTCAGACCCGGTGGCTTCCCAAGTGAGCATGGTGAGCCTTCTGCAAGCTGCAACCTTTCCTATGGAGACATATCTGAAAGAAAAAGTTGTTCCAAATACTGCAGCAGAACATCAAAGCAGTGATGTGGTAAGCACAGAGCATGGTTCTTCCTCAGCCGCATAAGAACATGACAGAGACACAAACGGAGCTCCTGAGCCTCTGAACTAACTTAATCCCTTGGGAATTCTCCGTGAGTACTGCCCTGGTCTAACTAACTAACTAACTAACTAACTAACTAACCCCTTTGGAGTTTTCCATGAGTACTTATGCTTCAGAGGTATGTTTATTTAGGTATACAACCTTGTTCAGTTTCGTCACATATATGGTGGAGTAGTTAAGACTATTCTACCAAGTGTGGATCATAGAAATGAGGAATTTATTGTTCCCTTGTTTTTATTGGATTTTGTTTTGGTTTTCTTCTGTGGGATGAGGCTTGAGAGAAACAAAAGAGATGTGAATCTTGATGAGGTTTCAAAATAACTTTTTATGTGTGAATATGTTTTGGAAATGCATAGGACAACAAGCTCAGTCCTGGACGTTTGTAACATATGTATATACTGGTCAAAAACTGACAACAAACAATGATTCTATTAAGACATGATCGCCAAAGTTTCATGTTTGGTCATTTTACCACAAAATTGAATCAAGTGAGTCCAACGGTTTGTTCTGGTTTAACAAACCTAGATTAGATTACCAATCCCCCTCCCATTTTTAAAACAATAATTGAATAAGAGGACTTAGGAGCAACTAATATATTTTAATATTATTAGTTGGGCCGACCTAAGTTGAGTCGGCTCGATTGACTCACCCCGAAACTACTCACACAGCTTCACGCCATTCTTATTGTCAAGCTGTCTTTTTCTTATTGATTAACACGTTGTAACACATGGATTTTGCCTTCATTTAAATTTGTTTACTTACAATAGAAGGAAATCTACCTATATTTATGATCTTAATTACTAGTATTATATCCATGTCCACATCCTCCAAAATTAACAATTCTGCGTTTTGTAGATATCATTTTCCTTAGCAAAAAGATTATGAAAACAGATATAATAGATTACATGTCAAAACAAGATGACTTATAGTAGTGTAGTAGTAATCCAAAGTTTAATACTATAAGAATATAATAATGGTATGGTCAAAGAAGGTGGACGAGTTGGGTATGGCAATGAAGTAAATAAGTTGAAATACGAAGGGGGATTATAAGAGATTAATTGTGTTGATAATGGAGGTGAGAGAAATAAGAGGAGACATAAGAGAGGTGGGGCCTGGGAGTAGGACCCACGAACGCGTAAGAGTAACAGCTTAGGTTTTGGTAAAGCAGAGGTCGTCTCGTCGTGGGTTCCTCTCCCAACCCTAGACAGAAACAACTTCATACTCACGCGCCCCATTTCACGGTGTATAATAATTTAATTTCTTTTGGTTGACCACTTCTTTCAAATCTCTTATCACCTATTCCCAACACATTTTTCTATTGGCTCTTACTTTTAAATAATATATGAATCCGAAATATCTGAAGAATTTTAATGGGCAACAGCCGACTTATATTATATTGTATACGTCCATTTTATTCAAATTGACGGATCGATATGTGAAATATATGGATGTCTATATTCATGAGTTTAGTGGAGTCTAAATGAAGACATTAGATCAATTATTATATGTAAAATAATAAGCATATGCATCTCGATTCTCATGTTAAACACATATGAATTTTAAAATCGTACAATAGTTGTGTTTGCCGTTCTTACTACGATATATATACATAAATATATGTCAGAATTAACTTATTCAAAAATGATTATGCATAGTGGTGGGAATAATGTAAAGTTTACTTAAAGGATGTTATTTAGTGTGTGATATAATGAAAGCGACCAATGCGCACTTAAAAAGGATAATTAGCTTTGATACGGTCAGGCAAAGCTACTTTAAAAAGTTCAATCATTTTCTATTATGAATGATTTGTTTGAAACTTAAACAACTAGTACAACACAATAACATTAAATAAAATCTATGACAAATCTGGTTACGATGTGTTTTAGATGAAGGATAACATTGGTTCGGTATATCAAAAGCAAACAAATAATTTTTGTACCTTGCAACTTTTCTAAATCAATATAAAATCTATTAGGAAATATACCTTAGTTTACATCATAAAATAAGAAACAAATATAAACGTAATAACAGTTTTTAGGTAAAATGATAAAATAGAAAAAAGAGAGAAACAAATTAGCGCGTGAGTTACACCAACGAGTAAGCGAAAGTAGGTTAAAAAACCGTCTTAAACTAACGTGGGCATATGCTGGTATAATCAATCGTGTATAAAGCCAACCTTCATCGTCCTCATCCTCCTCCACATGTATCCTATCATCTCTCCTCTTCTTCTTCCTTCTAATTTCCCTCAAGAAATAATCTTGAAAACAAAACCGCCTCCCAAAAAACAATGGGAGTAGCTGTTTTAAATCCACAAGACTGTCTGAAACAACCTTTCCCCCACATGAAATATCCTCGTAACCATACCACCGCATGCCCCAACAGGCAGAAAAAACCGGTTCCAAACCGAACACGCCGAAGCCCTCCGCGTAACCAAACCACCAGATCTCCTCCTAAAGCGCCGCCTCCTCCCCCTTCGGTTAAGAAGAGTCCCGTCGTTGGTCAGGTTAGGATCCTGAAGCGCGGCGAGGAGATTCCAAATAAGACAGCGGAATTGGTTGTCGAAAAGACAGATCTGGTGTCCACGCAACGCATCGGACCAGATCCGTGTCTGATTCCGAGTCAGATCCGTCTCTCCGACCGTAAATCGAAGAAAGTTCCGTTTTACGCCGGACCTGTGACCATGACCTCGCCGCCTCCGAGCGACGTCCCTCTTCCGGCGTTCTTCACCACGAAGAAGAGCGTCTCTTTGTTCCAAGCCGCTGATGCCACGAGCGATCTCATCAGGATGTTAGGTCTAAACATCGCGTGAAGGCGTATCTCTCTCTCTCTCTCCGATGATCCATTTCTATTTTCAAGTGTTACGATTTCAAATTTCCGATCGTTCGATTCGAGTCCACAACAAAACATCTACAGACGACGACGATGAATCTAGAAGATGAGGAAAAGCATCTTCGTTAATGAACCAATTTCGAATCTTCCCTTATTTTTTCAAGGGGCAAGGTCGAAGTATCTTCTTAACAGGTCTTAGTTTCTCTTCTTAGGGTTTAGTGTTTGTGTAGGAAGTATTTGTTTTTTAGGCTTTTGTAACTTTCAAGTAATCTGTGTCTGTCTCTCGGGTTTCAATATGGTTTTAGTCTCGGGTAAATTATAGGTTCGCTTTGTGTTTTCTATGCTATCGAGTATCGAGTCTTTTATTATTCCTAAGGGTTCATAGAGTGTGTATCTACTGGTAACTACCCTTACTTTGTGTATGCCCGGTAATACATTTCTATGTATTAATAGTAGTTGTTTAAGGTCTATCTAAGTTTAATTTGTAATATCAACTTATGTTTCGATGTAAGCATGTATTACAGTTCTCTATCTATATAATATTAATCGTTTTTCATTTCTTTCTCTGCTTATTTGATTAGACTGAACAAGCTGTACAGATGAGAAAGGCTTGAAAGAAGAGGATTAAATTTGTGTTTGAAAGACCATTCCAATTCAAAACTTTTTATATTCTGCCATGACAGGAACTTGGAGTTATGTACCAATTGATTAGGCTTAACTCAATTATTAGCTGCTTGCAAGTATGTACGTTCGAATTTATGACAAAATTAAGTTAGAGGAAAAAACAAACTGCAGAGCGCTGTTGGGATTACACTCAAAGAGATGGTCAGGAAATGGTATGATCAGAAAAGTCTTCTCTAATCAGTCAATAGAGATCCTCTTGATCTCTTTGACCAACACTCCATGTTGAACTTGACCCAGAAAAAAGATTCAACAGCCTCGATTAATATCCATTTTTGTGTATATAGATGATAAGTTCTACAGCTATGGATGTCATTATATCAATTTTGACAAATGCCACTTGGTAGGTCCAAGTGCAAAGATTCCTGCTAGTACAGTTGGGCAGCCCATCTTGACCCGATTTAAGGCCCATAAGTTGAACCGCGTTCGTTAAATTAGTGAGACAACTAATCCCCAATTTGAAGTTTTGCAAGGTTTAAGACTTGAGATTAATTTAAGAGAATCGCAATTGGAATTTCACAGAAGAATCACAAGGTCATATACTTGTTTTTATAACATCGCGTTAAAAGAATATTAACGGTGGTAACGCACTTTGTATAGTGTTGAAGGTAATTAGTGTTGCCTTGTTGATTTTCTACCTAATTAAATAAGCGAGTTTAATAATCTCAGAAAGTGGGTTTATTAGGAGAATCTTTACACATAGTTTCCCACAAGGTCCCACATTGTATTGGATTTATATAGTTTATGAGAAAATAATTCCAAACAAGCAAGCAAATCCATACTCCATCTTGCATTTTCGCATCGACATTAAAATGGAAAATAAATGAAGAAAATCTACAAAAATACAAGGAAATGAAAAAAGGGGAAAAAAAAAACAATAAGAGGAATAATGTACATAGCCTCGTATAAAACACCATCCCTCTATCTTTCTTTCTCCTCTATTTCGATAAATCAACTTCCCTCTTGTCTCTCTCTCTTCTGTAACTTCTTTTCCTTCTCTTCTGTATTGTATCCAATTCCCTTTTTTTTCTCCGGGAGCTTTAGATTTGATTTAGTTAGCGTCGATGAAGAAAGTTACATCGTCCTCATCATCTAAGACGTTAGTCAAGGACAAGTGGGTGGCGGCGGCGATGACGGACGACCAGATGGTCGTTGAGCTTCTCATACGCCTAAAGCATGCGGGGACGGTGGTTTCTGAAGATCCGGATTCGAATCTGCATCCGTTACGGTGGGGGATACGTCAACGGCGTTCACGGCCGTCAAGATTCGGTGTTGGCGTTGCGTTGAAGAAGAAGGATGTGGATTCGGCTAGGGGCAGCCCGAAGACTCCGCTGTCGTGGAGCGGCGGATCTGGAAGTGGCGGCGGTTCCGCATCTCCCTCAGGCGATGGATTCGAGGATACTAGTGGTCAAGCTAGCTGCTCCACATCTACAGGATCCGGATCTAAGGTAACCTTTTCGTTTTTCTCTCTATTCAAACTCGATTTAGTCTTCTCTCCATCTCCTTTCTTCGCGATGCAAAATCCTTTAGTCTCGTCGGTTTTATTTTCCGATCTGGCCGATAAATCGGATTTCGCCGTCGTCCGCGTGTTCGTGTTCGTGACTGTTATGATCTTTCTCATCCTCTCTCGGTCATCTTTTTCCTTACTAATCTTCTAACGGAGATTATTATTATATGATGACGTCATCCCTCTCTTTTTTTTTCTTTCTCTTATTACTTCTGAATCCAAATTATAACCGGTCCGCTGGTTTGACACCCCTCGGAGAGTACGGCGACGCCACGGTTGATTTTTCTTTACCTCTAGGTTTAAACGCATTCTTCCATTTCTAAAAAGTCAAAAAGCTTATTTTGACTTTTTTTTTTCCTTTTTTCACTTTCTATTTTGATGTTGTCTTTGTAATTTTAAATATTCTCTCTACCAGAAGCTTAAGAGTAAATTCCTTTTTAAAAAAAAACTGGCGGTTGATGGTTAACCGTCTTCTTGGTTAACTTAACTCTCCGGTTTGAACCGGGGATGTAGCCAGATCTTGCCTTGTCAGGGCGTCTGATAATTGGCCGGTTCATGGGTGGTGAATATTTCTCCGGTCAAATTTTAATTGTGTCGAGGAAGGAACAATAAAAGTGCTTTTAGATAATGGGGGTAGTAGTAGTACAGCTAATTGGTCAAACGAGCGCGTTAGCTGAAACGAAACGGTAACGTTTAGGGTGAAAAAGGTGGGAGAGAGGTGAAGTGAATCTTGTCGGAGAGAATATCACGTGATCTTAAAAGAGTGATGACGCTTGATGTCCCCATTTACACGGGATTTACATGATGTGGCATGGCATCCTTCTTCTTTTTTTTTTTTGTCGAGTATCCTTCCTTTATTCATCCCTTCTATAAATTCTTTCCAGTTGTATTTGTGTTTCAAAAAGGATAGTTTTTTTTAACATTTACTGTATTCTCTGAATATTTTGTTTGAAATTTCTATTTGTGGGGAAAGAAGCTTTTACACTTATGTTAAGTAAGATGTTTGTGTTTGATTATAAAAAAAAAGTAAAAGATCTAAAATTAGTTGTCGTTTTCTCGTCAGCATTATTCTTTAATAGTATCTTACAATGCAATTATTTGTTTTATTGGAGCTAATCAAATGCGTTTTTGATTTTCCTTTTTGCAGGTTTTTCCAACAAACGAAATCACCAGTTCTTTCTCCAAGAGATTGAAGATAAAGAAGGTATAAAAAATTCTCTTTCACCTATTTATTGATTAAAAACCCGAAACTGAAATTCTTGAATGTCTTATAGTACTATTTACTGAGCCTGAGATGTTTTTTTTTTAATATCTGAACAGTCATCTTCTTCTGAGCTTAAATACCAAGAGAACTTGAAGTTGAAGGAAAGAGTCGACCTTGAAAAGGTAAACATTCTCTGTTCTGAACTTTTGTTTGTCATGTTAGGACCTCACTCATTTCCATCTTGTTTTAACAATAAACGGTTTCTCGTCTACAGGAGATTGCAAGTCTCCGAGAAACGTTCGACGAACAAAACGTTAGGAACAAAAGGTTGAAGAGGATTAAGGTAAACATTGTGATAGTCTTCTGATCTTCCACATTCTCTCTCTTTGTGCTTGTCTCAACTGAATAAAAATCTTATTCTTCTGTTTTCTTGTTTTAGCTTGACTTGAACTCAGACCGTGTCAAGAACGAGACTGCTCCAGTTGATCTGATTCCTAAGCCACAAAGCGAATCAAAATCTTGCAGAACTGAGAGCAACAAAACCGCTAGCTCGGAAAATAAGAGCTTCTTCTTCCTACCTGATTTGAACATGGAACCAACCGAGGAGGAGGTATTGTATGGAACTAGCTAAGTGGCTTGCATATCTGAAGACCTTCGATCTGTAGATCCGAGTACAGTCAAAGAAGGGAGGCAAGAGACTTCAGCTGCAAAACAAAAGTGAATGTAATAAGTAAAAGAGTTTTAATACCTCCCTCTCATCATTCTTGTCTTCTGTAACTTCCTTTTTGGGGTAAAACGCTCATTACTTCTTGGTTTTATAGAAGGTGGAATTTTAGGTTCTTTAATTCCGATTCGTTGTAGTTAAAGCTGTGTTGGAAATTGTGTTAGTGACAACTAATAGACTTTAATATTTTCAAACCCGCCCTCTTTATTCAACTAATCTCCTTATCTTATTATTAATTGACATTAAGAACCCTAATTTCCGCTCAACTAACCCAAGACAAAAAGATCTAATCATCCAATTATCTCGTGAACCATGATTTATTTATTTATTTATTTTAAACTTGTGAGGTGTAGTGTTATTGGTGGTTCGTCGGTGTGTTTATGGATAAAAAAATCCCTTATTTGTCTTATCAGTCTTTTGTATGGATCAAGTTATTATACTTGTGGAGAGATGCAAAAAAGTTAGATAAGTTAGATTTTTATGACATGTACACTAAAATTAATTTGCATTAGTTTGACGGAAACAAAAATTAATTAGGTTTTTATTCAAAAACTATACTATGAGTTAATTAAAAACAAAAAAACATATAATACTATGCTAAAAAATTGTTGGGACCAAAATATCGAAAAGAGGAGTATAGAGAAAATAAATGATCAGTTCAATATCAATGGTTAATTAGGATTTAGGAAACTTCAGACAATAATAACAAAATAAAATTAGGACAGACTTGGTCTTCAGGAACAATAATAACTCTAGGAGAGAGAGAAAGGACTCTTTCTTTCTAGACCCCCAAAACGCAGGAAAACAATGTCGTTTAACACCTCCCACCTCATTCCTCCACAAGAAGACCTTCCTCCTCTCCGCCACTTCTCCGATCAATCCCAGCCACATCCTCACCCTCACTTCTCCGAAACACCGTCTCTTCTCACGGCCAGCTTCCTCAACCTCCCTCCCACCGCATCCATGTCGGATTCCGATTTCGCGCCTCCCCATCGCAGCGGAGACAGCTCCACAACAAACCGACGGTGGCTCTCCTTCGACTCCGAGATCCAGAACTCCGGAGAAGGCCACCATGAAGTCAACGACGGCGATGGAGGTGAAGATTGGAAGAGCGCAAGCTGCAAGGCGGCGATTGTGAGGCATCCGATGTTCGAGCAGCTTCTGGCGGCTCACGTTGGTTGCCTTAGGGTTGCGACTCCCGTTGACCAGATTCCGAGGATCGATGCGCAGCTCAGCGAGGTTCACAACGTTGCCGCCAAGTACTCTACTCTTGGTGTGGTTATGGATAACAAGGAGCTTGATCATTTCATGGTAATTTTGAAAAAATCCATTTTTTTTTTTATTTTCAATTTTCCGCAACAAGGAACTTGTTGTGCTCGTTGAGTTTAACATGGTAGTTACTGGTGTACGTCTTCTTTCATTAGTAAAGTTTGCTTCTTCTTGGGAAGTTCCTTGTAAATTGAAGTTCCAGAGTGTAGTGTTCTCTGGAGACTGTCTTCTTAGCAGTAGTAATATGTTCTCTTTCATTGAGTTCATGTGGAATACGAAGTTTTGCACTTTGAACGATATTCAACAATTGAATGATTTACATGTTTCTTTTGGTTCTTCGTTGGTCCTGCTTCTTCAGTCTTGAAATCTATATGGTATTTGCTTCTCCTTGTTGATTTAATATATAGTATTATGAACTTTGTTGGACATGAAGAAGATGTACTTGTTGGATAGAGCTTCTTTCTTGATGGCTAATAGTTTGTCTGCTTCTTACTAAAAAGGGCTTTTGGTGCATTTTGAGCTTTTTTTTGTCCTCTAGAAAGAGAACAATCTGTTTTTGTAATGTTTTATTTGTATGCCTTATGAGTCAGAATCATACCCTTTTTTCAATGTATGCAGTCACATTATGTTGTTCTCTTATGTTCGTTTAAAGAACAACTCCAACACCACGTTTGTGTCCATGCAATGGAAGCCATAACGGCTTGTTGGGAGATTGAGCAGTCGCTGCAATCCATAACGGGTAAGTGTGACTCAATCCGAAATCAGTTGTTGTCTTCTCGCTTTATGCGCGTCTTGATTTTTTAATCTCTGTCTATCTTCTGATTTTGTATTGTATGTGGTTGTAGGAGTTTCACCAAGTGAGAGCAATGGCAAGACAATGTCGGATGATGAAGATGATAATCAAGTAGAGAGCGAGGTGAGCATGTTTGATGGAAGCTTGGACGGTTCAGATTGCATGATGGGATTCGGTCCTCTTGTCCCAACCGAGCGCGAGAGATCATTGCTGGAACGTGTGAAGAAGGAACTTAAGCATGAGCTTAAACAGGTAACTGCTTAATCAAGTTGCCATGTTACATCAAACTAAACTAAAACACACTGTGTTATCATGTGTGCTCCTATAGGGTTTCAAAGAGAAGATCGTGGACATAAGAGAAGAGATAATGAGGAAGAGAAGGGCGGGAAAGTTGCCAGGAGATACAACTTCTGTTCTCAAAGAGTGGTGGCGAACTCACGCCAAGTGGCCATACCCAACTGTAAAACCCTCAGCCAAGAAAGTTTGTTAATAACATTCTCTAAAGCGGTTTTTCATTCTTGCTTTGGTTTTGAGTTGCAGGAGGAAGATAAGGCAAAGCTGGTTCAAGAAACCGGTTTGCAGCTGAAGCAGATTAACAATTGGTTTATCAACCAGAGGAAAAGAAACTGGAACAGCAACTCTTCCACATCATCTACTCTCTCCAAGAACAAACGTAAACGGTAATAACAATTATAACATAGATATGGTTTTTCTCTTGCGCGATTTCATCATTGTATATTCTCTCTAAACCAAACTCAGGACCGGGAAGTCGTAGGTGACTCTCGTGGCTGACCAGAGGATGATTCTTGCCACGTGAATCCAAGGGAACCGGATATGAAAGACATGGTTGCAAGATGTATAGGTGTTACCGGTTTGCTTATAAAAACCGTATTGTGGAGCTGTATTCCTGTTTGTATCAGCTTGAAAATCTATGTTTATATGTGTATATAAAGTAGTTCTTGGAAGTTATCTGTTTTGTTTGTTTATGGCATCTTGTAATGAACGCTTGGTTGGTTGTGGGTAGGGATGTTGTATTGGGTAGTCCAACCCAACCCAGCCCTAATTAACTTAAGCCCAATCCTAAATGAGCCCTAAACCTTTTATTACCCATTAAAATATGTAATATAGGGCTTGACCCTTTTTAGCCCTAAAAGCCCTTTATGCTTTTTTCAATGTTTTTTTTGTGAATAAAGATATTTTTTTTCAATGTAAACACATTTGTAACATCATAAAATTTGTAAAAGCAATAACTACACATTGAACTAAGAAAAAAAAGTAAATACAAAAACAAATAAGCTAAGGTAACAAAAAGAGAGATGGTAACAAAAAACTAAACTTGAATCTCCAAAGAAAAAGCTGAGAAACATTAGGATCAGTGTACGTTTGTTGGACATCGAAATTCAAGAAAGATAATTACATCCTTAAAGACCCAGAGAAAATGAGTAGCTACACAGAAATAAAGTCACCGAATTTTTTAAAAACTGCTTTCAGTTTATATTAGGCAATAGACATCCTGATATCTCAATAGAAATAAAGCACATAAGCAATAAAAAGAAACACGCAAGCTGTTACTCTTAACCTATTGTCTCTCTATACTCACAATCTCATACTCTCAACCTCATACTAATTACAACTAGCTCTTAGACTCAACACACAGCAAGCAAGCCTACTTCAACGAATATTCAGACACAAAACAAGACCCAATGTGGTAAGTAAAACAAGACTCGATTATCATACAACAAGATAAATTGTCCATATATATATATATAATTGTCAGTTGATGCGATTGATGACAAATACAAAAAAAAATTATAAACAAATGAGAGCTTTAACCAGTTTTGCAAGCTATAAACTGTCATGTCACTGAACACAATGTAGCAAATGAATTATTCTTTTAGCAAATGACAGCAAAGAACGAAAGAGAAACACAGTATCTAAACCTTATGCGATGAGAAAGGGGAGGACAGTGAGTATGAAGGATTCGTACGTGAAGATAGCTGAGCTTGAGTATCCTGTGACTTTCTCCTTGAACTTCTCTGTTAGTCCCTGCAAAATTCAAATCATCAAAGTAAAATCAAAACAACTAACTTGTAAAAAAAATAGAATCTGCAGTTGATGATCAGGAAGACAAATTAATGAACAACACATATTTGCAGAGCTTTAACCAGTTTTGATATTCAGGTGAAGCGAGATATTTTTTGAGTTTAACTAGAAAGATCTTCAGTCAAATCTAAGCTAAGCAGAATGAGACAGAAACAAAGTAAGTGAGACAGATCAAATCTAAGCTAAGCAGAATGAATAACTTCACAAAACTAATCTTTCTATATTAACTAGTTTAAACCTTATTTTTGTGCTCCTTCCTTTTCTTGTTCGTTTTTTTTGTTCTTGGAAGTCTTTACCACCTTGTGATCTGCGAAAGACAGATTCAAACTATCAACAAGGATTTTCGTATCAAATAACCTATCAACTCGGCGATAAATGCCTAAGCTAACATGGAGAATGATCAATAAATAGCCCACGAGATTACAGCACAAGTGAAACAGTGAGAATCCCATACGAGGCCCTCACCAACTAGAAACAAGTCTAATAAAAATGGCAGAGTGTAATGTAAGCATCAAAGTAGGCTCACTAGACTAATCTTTCTTCACAAAGCTAAGCAGAATGGATCAAACAAATCAAATAAAGGCTAAAAGAAGAGAGTTAACTTCACAAATCAAATCCAAAAATCCCAAAACCAACCAACATGAGTGTTAACTTCACAAAACTAATCTTTCTATATTACTAAATCATAAAAAAAAACTACAATCGACCCATCATCATCAATCATTCTACAAACCCATCAACAAGCTGAGATGAACAAGCTGATACACAAACCAGTAACACAAAAAGCTGAGAAGCTGAGAATCCTAAGAAGCTGAGAACCTGAGAAGCTGTGATGTTGAAACCCTCCTGAGAAGCTGAGATGTTAGACTCCGAGATCGAAGAAAGAAACCCTATAATCGAAAACCCATCAAAATCAAACAAGATACCAAATCAAACCCATCAAATCGAAAAATCAAAGAGTGAGAAATACCTGAGCGGATCTAAAACCCTTGACTGCTTCGGGAGATAGAATCTAGTGAAATACCACGACCCACGAGTCTGTTTCGGGAGACGAGATCGAGAGACAGAGATTCGGCGTCGAGAGAGAGATCCGAGAGAGAGAGATTCGGCGTCGAGAGAGAGATTCAGCGTCGAGAGAGAGAGAGAGTCGAGAGAGAGACGAAACCAGGAATCGGCGACTGCTTTGGTGATTGAAGAAGAATGACGAAAGTCATGAAACCCTACTGCTTAGTTTAAAAAAAAAAAAAAATTATTAGGGCCCAACCTTATTAAACCCATTATTTTCAGGTCCAACCCTAAATGAACCCAATGTCTTTACAATTAAAATATTTAGGGTCAGGGTTTTAAAAATTTTGATGGGCTGGTACTACCCTAAACATCCCAACCCAGTACAACATCCCTAGTTGTGGGTTCTCTTGTTTGTAAATTGCTATGGTTCGTTAGTATCAAACAATATTCATCACATATTCAATCGTTTGTTTGAAACAAAAGCATAGTTTTGAATAAATGCAAGCAGCTTTCGGCAACTTCAGCTGCGTATGCTTGAAGGACGACGCAGTTTGCGTTATGTCAGCGTTTTAACTCACCTTTCATACTTTTCATTAACCAAATAGAGAATACAAAATTACAACCATTAAAGTTTTATACAAAATTACAACCATAAAAGTTTTAGCCCAGTGTAACTTTCACCACAACGAACCAAATTCATCTCACAACTTAAGATAAATCGACTCTTAGACTCTAAAATTAAACCACAAAAACGGACATAAAACAGCACAAGAAATCCATGACGCTAATCGGCTATATTTTGGTCCAACTATTGAACAACAACGTTTGTTAATGAAACTGATACACAATATTTTTTAAAAAATGTTAATTTAATTTTTATGAAATTTTTTTTTTTTTTTTTATTTGTGTAATCAGTTATAAAAATTTATATGAGTTGTTGAATTGCATTTATCATCTATATCAATAATACATTTTAAATAATATTTTAGCAACAAATGACACGTGTTGTCAAGGGTATATATTTACGCAATTGCCAGATATCCAAGGCGGTTTAGGAACGAGAGATTAAAAATTGGATTTGGTCCAGCGCCTTCTTCTCGCCTTCTAGAAACTCCGTCGTCGTTGATTCTCGTTCGCCGGTAACGATAAACCCTAAACCCTAGTTTTTCAGGTACACTCTTCTTCCCCCGTCTCCTGTTTACTTTTCAGTAGCTCTTTGGTCGCCATTAAGCTATTTGAATTTCTAGATTTCTGCGATTTTTAAACACGAAAGAGTAAAAAGCTTTGTATTATTATCTCGAGGATCCAGTCGAGCTCGGAGATTATGGCGGAAACGCAAGAGGAACGATCTCCGTCGCTTGACGATTGCCTTAAGCTGTTGAAAGGGGAGAGGGACGAGCAGAGGCTCGCAGGTTTACTTCTCGTCACCAAGTTCTGTAAGAACGATGATCTCGTTTCCCTCAAGAAGGTGTACGAAGCCGTTGGTACTCACTTTCTCGACCGCCTTCTCCGCACAGGTAAACATAATCTCGACTTGTTTCTCTAGTTTCCCTCAGTGTATAGCAATTTGTAGAAAGAGTACTTTGTAGCTGTATACGAAGGCTATGTTTCTCTCTTGAGTTGAATTTTTGAGAGTGTCTGATTGCAGGTAGTGGCGATGGAAGTGAAAATCGTGATGTGTATCTGCGGCTATCTGTTACAGTTCTTGCTGCGTTCTGCCGTGTTCCGGAGATAGCTTCTGCAGAAGAGATGGTCTCTCGAATTCCCCTTATTCTCGAAATCATGTCGAAACGGTATGTTAGATGGGCTGACTCTTTACTCTGTGATTTTTCCTTGAAGTTCTACGTCTTCGTATCTTTTGCACATTATGACTTATTAACGTTATGACTTTGGCTTTTGGAAATTTCAGGCCTGCAACTAACATTCTTGAAGAATGCTATGAGCTTCTGTATTTGGTGTCCACGGCTTGTGAAGCTGGTGTCATGGCTTTGATCAACTCTGGAGGCTTGAGAGTGATAGCTCCCCAGTTGTCTGAACTATCTGATGGTAATTTTTTTATTCCTTTGCTTTGCATTGTTTCGCAAGTGTATATAGTGTACATTAGATATCAGTGAATGCTCCTTTTTGGATTAGCAATGAATTCCTGATGGGGATTGATTATATATAATCAGTATTTGAGAATAATTACTCGGTGAAAGCTAATGTGCCGAATGTTATCCAGGTTCACATGCTATGGAGGTTGCTATAAAGATTCTGCAGCTATTGGTTAGTAAGCTTTCCAGCGAGAGCATGAACATTGAACGCTTCTTTGAATTGTCTTTGGTGGTGAGTCCACTTCTCTGTTTTTTTTTTTTAAATGATTACTAAATATATCGGGCTTAAGTTGGAATCTAATGTCATGTTACTTGTTGTTCAGGTTGCTGCTGTTGCACGGCAGTTTGCGGTCTTGCACAATGCCCTGAAGTTTGAAGCACTCCATCTACTGTCTGCAGTCTTCTGTTCCGATTATTCTGTGAGTTTTCACTCCTTTACCACCTATGGAAAGTTCGCTGTGATTGAATGGATTTATGTTCTTATCTTTAGGTACTAGAATGGTGTAATTTGAGTTCTTCTTTATCTTTCATTCATTTGCTTGGATGATACAGTTGTCATCCTGATGACCATGGCTTCACTTTATTGATGCTCTTTCATATTCATATGACGTTTCCATTGTAGAAGCTCTACATCTTCTTTTCTATTTACGTTCAAATATATCTATATGTTTCTCACATAATTTCTTATGTGTAGGCACTTCTTCATGAACCTCTTCGTTCCATGCCAGACAACAATTGGGCAGACTACATGCGCACAGGTGTTGTGTCAATTCTGCACAATCGTGTGGGTGAGTTAAAAGAGATCTTTTTCTTGTCAGCTCTTCATTTTTCCTTTTTTTCTGATATATATCCAGTCCCCTCTTGTTATCTCATGCGAAAGAAAATGATGGCAACATTGCTAAAAATGGTCACTTTTGCGAAACATGTCATTGATATGTTTTCTTTCATCCTTTATTTTATTGAAGTTTCCGAGAAACTTACTGAACCTTTCTTGTTTGAACGTGTAGCCCCTTCGGAAAGGCTTCATGCATTGATTCTTGCGGAGAATATGATGTCAATTCTGGGTGAGAAGTGGCTTATCGGTAGAGTAAAATTACCCAGTGTTGAGGATTATCTTCCAGCTGATAGGTAAGCATCAGGATACACATTTGATTTACTTTTTTCAGCCAGATAACAATCATTCTGATTTCTTTTTATAGGTGTCTTCTGCTGGTATTAGAGTCATCACATGTTGAGATTTCTGTTTTAACAAATGATCTCGCATACATGAAATATGAAGCTCCTACTTCAGCTGTTGAAGAGCAGCTCTTGAAGCAACGCTATCTGGCTATCGCATTTTCTTTGGTAGAAAAGATCATCAAGTATATATCCACTGTTGGTGAAAATGAAGGTATTGCATATGATCTTGTCTTCTAAATGTTTCATATCTACTATTTTCTGTCCGACACGACCCCTTTTTCTAACCTTTTCCGTTATTTTATGTAATGTCTACAGTTTTGAAATTTACATATTGAATTTTGCAGGGACTCTAAGTGATGAAACCATCTTCCTCAAGGTGATTAAGACGTTTAACGAGACAGTAGTAGTAGTGCTCGAGTATCTGAAAGATGCAAAGGTATATATCTCATAACATAAAACTCCTTTTCTCTGTTGTGTGTAGAAATTGTTATTGATGGTAGTTCTATTTTATACAGGAACATGGAAAGAAGAGAGGAAATGATCTTCTTGCATCTGTGCGAATGATTGGGAGGTATTTGCTGCTTCCTTGAAATTTTAGTACTCCATTTGGAAGAACACTGATAGTCTCCATCACTTTAGTATTCACTGAACTTTTTATTGTGTTTCAACAGCTATCTTGCTGAAACTCCTGATGCCTGCAAAGAGCAGGTCCACGATCTTCTAGACTATATGCTGTCAGTTGAGGGCGAAGAGGAATCCAGGTTCGTTCCTGCCCTAAAGTTATTACTCTCTATTATAATGATGTTATAGTAATGTCTCCCATGACAACTTGGTCTGACTATTCTCTTTTGAACAGCCCGTTTTTGTCCTCTTGCTTCCTGCTACCAATGCTCTGCCAAATAACTATGAAGGATGAAGGGTGTAAGCTCTTGGCGGCTTCAAGAGGCTACCTAGCTGTGAGTATTACCTATGATTTATTTCTTTCTTACACCTGATGCTAGTTGACACTTGACATTGTGCTTGAAAAAATCCAATATATTTCAGTCTCTTTGATCTAAGATATGATTCGGGTTGTGATTCTAATGTATATAATCTAAAATGGAATTCTCTAATATTTCTTCAATACAGGTCGTGGAATGCCTTATAAAACTGATACAGTCCGAAGGTCAGAATGGTGAGGACAATGGAAGCATCTTCTTGGCTTGTGATACGGTCATGAATGTTCTTTTGAAGGTGCCTTTTTTTCTCCCTAAGATAAGATTTGATTACGGTTTTCCAAATCCCTTTATTCAGATGATAATGACACTTGTAAATGTTGGAAACAGAGGGAGCAAATCAGTCTTGCGCCGGATTTGTCTACATTTTCCAGCCTATTAACAGCCTTGGCGCATTGGGCAGGTGATATAATCTTTAGATCAAAAACTTCCTTGTTTTTGTTTCGCTTCAGAATGTTGATACAAGTGTTTCTAATATTTCGAACATGTCAATTTCCTTCTTTTTTGTGTTACAGATGGCACTAAGGATCCATCCGTAGTGATGATGGCGGCAAGCATCTGTTCTCTGATCTTCGATTTCACATCAGAAGAAGCTCTACTCAAGCAAGCCAATGTCAGTGCTCGCTCCTTGGAGACTTTGGCCAGGCTCATTGCAAGAAGCTTTTCCTCAGCGGGCCAGGTATATGATGTTTCATGTTTCTCAATTTAGTCTCTTGCTAAGATTCTCATTACATGCTTCTTACATGACTGTTGGCAACCATTATGGATGCAGGGTATGTCGGATACTGCTGATCTTCTTGAGATCATAATGGCAGGTTTGGTTTCGATATGTCTCATTTCAAATCACTTTTTATCCAATGCTTCATTGTTTCTATGCATCAGTTTTCGTTTTCCTCTACTTGTAACACTATTATGATTATGAAACAGGATACTCTCGATGGGCAGAGCGGTTCCCGACGATAAAGAAACATAACCGCTGAGCAATCTTTATCATTTTCTTCTAGTCCATGAGTATGGTAATGATCATACTCTTACTCAGGCTTGTTTCTAGAGGATTGAGAGCATAGAATTAGTTATTAAGCAAACGAGTTCTTATACTATTTCGCGTTGTTCTGGATTGTGTATATTGTAGACGCAGTTTATAACTTTTTATGGTTATGTTTGTTTCATGAAGTGTTCCATAAGACAATCTAATTTATGGTTAACTTTTCGCAGTCCATTAGTATGGTAATGACTTAATTTATGGTTTTCTAAAATTTGAGGCAATCTAATAAAAATGAAAGACCTATATTTAGAAAGGATACTCACAATCTACCAAAAACGACGTCGGTTCTTTGCATACCAGACCGAAACCGAAAACAAACGCGTTTTCGAGTCTTTGGAATCTCTCTATAAATAGTTCTTTAAGGAAAGTCTCGATAGCTACGAATCCTATTCGCTGGATCTGAAGAGAAAAAAACAAAAACAGATCATCATGCCCGCCTTATCTCACTCCAAAGCACTCTCATCTCTACCGTCCGTTTCCCTATCTCACCCTCTCATCCAACGACTCAGAAAGATCCACGGACTCTCATCTTCCTTCCCGGAATCTTCTTCCCCCCTCGCTCCGTCGAATCGCCCCGTCACTGGCGGCTCTCTCGCTAAATGGATCTCCGGGATAACAGCTGGCTCCGGCTTAGGGTTTCTGTACTGGTCCTCCTCCGATTCTGACTCGTCTTCTGGTTTGTTCGGTGGAATTAATTTATTTTCGTCGGCTTCTGTCTCTGACGGCGATCTGAAACCGAGATCGGGATCGAGATCGTTCATCCCGAAATTAGCATTGCCTGGTTACAGCTCTGGATTCATCTTCGGAGGTCCGTTTTCTATCTCATTGATTCCGTTTTTTTTAAATTTCTCAGTGGATTAATCCGTTCTTGAAAAATAGATGCGTTTAGAAGGAAGATCTTCTTCAATTACGAGAAGCGTTTGAGATTACAGAGTCCTCCTGAAAAGGTGCGTTTAAGATTCCGTTTCCTTGAGTTTTCTATGTTTAGGCGATAGAAGCAAACATGATTTCAGTTAGGTTTGTTCTTGATCGTATTTAGGTTTTCGAGTACTTTGCATCTGTTCGAACATCAAATGGAGAATTGCTGATGAAACCTGCGGATTTGATGAGAGCTATCGTCCCTGTGTTTCCTCCATCAGAGTCTCATCTCGTAAGAGAAGGATATTTGACTGGGGAGAGGAATCCAGGTGAACTTAGATGCTCTCCTTCTGAGTTCTTCATGCTCTTTGATGTCGACAACGATGGTCTTATCTCCTTCAAAGAGTGAGTTTGCTTAACCTAACCTAACCAAACCAAACCATTCATTCATTCTCTGTAAATTGGAATTTGATTGTTTTGTTTGGGAAACAGGTATATCTTCTTTGTGACATTACTCAGCATTCCTGAATCAAGCTTCGCTGTGGCTTTCAAAATGTTTGATACCGACAACAACGGGTGAGTAGTCGTTCAAATTTGTAAATAGATCAATCTTCCTTTTGGTAACTTTCACTTTTTTCCTGCTCCATATTCTGGGGATCTCTGTGGAGTCTCTTTTGAGTTTACGCTCTTGAGTCATGTTAAACAACTCTGGTCAGTGCTTTCTAATCCTTTGTAGCTTTTCTTTCATTGAGATGCTTCTGATTAAAGATTTTATTTTAGGGAGATTGATAAGGAAGAGTTTAAGACTGTGATGAGTCTGATGAGATCTCAGCATAGGCAAGGCATTGGCCACAGAGATGGCCTTCGAGCAGGGTTAAATATGTCTGGCTCTGTCGAGGATGGAGGCTTGGTTGAATACTTCTTTGGAAAAGATGGAAGTGAAAAACTTAAACACGATAAGTTCACTCAGTTTTTGAAAGATCTAACTGAAGAAGTAAGTATCTCTTTATCCTTTGATTACATCTCTCTTGTTGTACTTGTGAACTGTTATATATGCCAAGTAATGAAGGTCTTGTTATAGCTACATGACAAGGGTTTTCGAGGGGTAGGCAGTTTAGGATAGTAGACTCTAGTTCCTGATACATGTTCCATTATTTGCTATAGAGAATAGGGATTAAAGTTGTTGTTTTACTGAGAAGAGTTTATGTTGATATATAGATGCTGAGGCTGGAGTTTGCACATTATGACTATAAACGAAGAGGAACTATATCAGCCAAAGATTTTGCATTGTCCATGGTGGCTGCGGCTGATGCAAGCCATTTGGGAAAGCTGCTTGATCGAGTGGAGGATCTGAGCGAACACCCTCATCTCCATGACATCCGTATCTCGTTAAAGGAATTCAAACAGTTTGCTGAGCTACGCAGTAAACTTGGGCCCTTCTCTCTAGCGCTTTTCGCTTATGGCAAAGCTAATGGTTTACTTACAATGAAAGATTTCAAAAGAGCCGCCTATCAGGTGACTCTTCAACATCTAATGGTTCTCTCTATACATATTACATAGTTTAGTTTTTGCAATTTATTGAACTCGTGCGACAAAATTTTGAACAGGTATGTGGAGTATCATTGTCAGACAGTGTTATAGAGATTGCGTTTCATGTGTTTGATTCGAATAGAGATGGGAATTTGAGCGTGGAAGAGTTTCTGAGGGTTCTACATAGAAGAGAGAAGGATATCTCACAGCCAATAACCAAGGGAATTCGTCAGTATTTCTCAGATGGATGGAACGGTTCTAAGAAGTGTTCCTCTCCGTAAAACAAAGAGCAGGCAGGCAGGCGCTTCTCTTTGGGGTGCTCACAGATGAAACTTGAAGACCTATGTTTTTGTTGTGTCTCTTGGGTTCATACGAGTGAGAGACCAAGAGATTTGATTAATCCACCCTCGGTTGCATTGTGTAAGAAAGATTTCTGAATAAATCTTTGTATAGTTGTTGGACCTCATGAACCTTCCTTTTAAATTGTAATCCGAGCCGGATTATATATATTCATTGATTTATTATATAGCCACACTTTAAAGAGAAAGTAGTCCAACACCAAAAGAAATATCCGGCAAATCTGAAATATCCATTATTCTTTTTCTTTTTAAAGAAAAAACAATATGAAGTCAGGGTACAATACAACAAACGTTCGCACAACGATAACAAATTTAACAGACACTAATCCAAATCAACAATAAATAAGAATGATTACACAGCTGTGGTATAGAAGCAAACATAACAAAAAGAAAACAACAAACAACCAATATGTTGTATCAAATCTGAAGAGAAGAGGGTTATCACCATCTATAACCGTCTTCTCTGGACTGAATCCCAAACAGTCTCAGCCCACCACATATGAATACCGCAGAGGCCAAGAGTATATCCCGTGGAAATCGATATCCACCACACAAAAATGAAAACAAAAGAGGGAAAAATGACCACTACTCCCAAAACAAACAAAGTGCCTGCCATACATTTTTGAAAACAGTCAAAAGATAAGCTTTCCATCAAACAAGACCCAGATAAAAACAAGACAGCTTCACAATTGTATAAGGACAAAACTATCTCATTATATGGATCAACGGTAATACATCTACCTACTATTCCCTAGTTCATGTTCCACAACAAGAATGGTTTTGTAAATAGCATTCAGCGCATGAGAAACTAACAACCTAAAATTACTATAGAGACAGAACATACTTCAAGATGATGTGAACCGGGTTACTACTTGCTTACCTACTGATAACATATGAGATGACTGTTTCCTCAAGCAGGCTCAGAAAATACATTTTCTAAGATATCATGCAGTTTTGGGGCTCGTCTCCGGAACATCGGTTCTAGCCTGAAAGATGGCACACCCATCTGCCATCTTTTGGCATCATACATTTCATTCCATGCCTGTACTATCTCATCAATCTTGAACCCCATACCTGCAGTTATTACAAAAATAAAGATATCAGAAAACAATTGGTTGTGACTTCTTCAAAGTTTAGTAACTGATTACCTTCAAGTGCACTCTCGCTTGAACAATGATTCTTCACCATAACAGCTATATCAGTAGCAGAAGCTCCAGCTAGTTCAAATTTCTCAACTGCAACCTCTAAACATTCCTCCCAAGTTGTTAACCCTAGCTTATACTCCACTATAGACCTTTCATATAGCAAGGAACCCCACAAGAGATTAATCTGGGAACTCATATTAGCTGTCTGCTCCACCGTATCTTCATCTGAAGCTTCTCTAAACAGTCCATCCAACTCCATCTTTTGCAGAAGTGCTCTCTGCATATCCAACTTAGAGATTCCATTTAAACGACGTTCTTCCATCTCTTCCCAAATCTGCATACCTCTCTCCATGCTATCCTCAGCTTTGTTGTAGAGAATAAGAACCTCCTGAGAAACCTCACTTTCTATGTCTACTTTGCTTTTGAGTGCATGATACCACAAAAGCTTTGCATGTTCAAACTGCTCTTGACCAAGTGCAATGAGAGCTTCATAAAAATCAGGTTTAATCTTAACCGCTTGTTCATATTTCTCAGCAGCCTTTTTATATTCATTTTTTGTCCACACAAATGCAGCTTCAACCGCTTTAATTACAGCTTCTCTCGAAGCATCTTCGGGGAAACAGACTTGTTTCCTCGCCTTAGACATGTGAACGTTACCCCAGTTGAACATAGCAAGTGCAGCCATTTCTTGGAACTTATCAGCTGCGATTTCAAAAAGCTCTTGAGCATCTTCACCAGTTACAGCATCTTCCATAGCTTCTGTGTAGAGCTTCATCCCAAGATCATGAAGGTCCAAGTAAGAATCAGAATCAAACCCGACATGGTTCTTGAACAGCTGCGCAAACTGGTAAATCCAGTTCTCAAAGCTAGTAGAGGCGGCGTTGTCAGATTCCACATACTCTCCACTATCCGCAACACTGCTCACTCTCTTCACAGCCTTTTCAGTATCATATGTTGGTTCTTGGTCAGGGTTAGCTTCAGCTATATATAACCTAAGGGAACCGAGTTTATCATGACTAGTAGCAGCAAACCTCAGCTCATCTGTTGTGGTGATAGTAACCAAATCACCCTCTGAGTCCTTGTACTTAATCAAGAAGCCCTTTAGAGCAGGAAAGCGATCCCTTATTACATCTCTCACAAGTTGAATACTAGAATCCAGCGGCAACTGCGCCCCCCTTATATCATCTCCATGTACCAACTTAACCGTCCTAGTAACCGTTGTCTCTTCTTTTGTTCCTTTCCCTCTTTCCACAATCTCAGAGGCAATGACCTCTTTGTCCATCACAACAACCTTATCTTCCACCTTCCTCTCTTCTCCTACCTTATTACCACTCTTCTTTTTCTGCTTCTTGAAAGTAGTTTTCTTCTCCTTTCTATCAATTTCAGATTTATTATCACTCTTTTCCTCCTTTGTCTTATCTTTACTCTCCGCTATGATAGCCTTTGGACTCTCAACAACAACTCTGTTCCCCTTAACTTCATCTTCTTTCTTCGTCTTCTTCTTACTCTTCTTCACAATCTTCTTCAAACGAGCAGCACCAACAGGCAACACATCCACAAAACTCCTCTCCATCTCCTCCACATCCACACCTTTCTCAACCAACGCCTTCTTCACCCTATCAAACACCTCATTCGCGGAAACATTCTCAGGCTCCATATTCAACACAATCCTAGCATCCCTAAACGCGTAATCCAACTTATTCAAAGCCTCGTAACACCTAGACCGTCTCAGCAAGGCCTTACTGTACCTAGGAGAAGCCTCCAGAGCTAGATTACATTCGCTGATAGCGTTAGGATACTCACCTAACCCCATCTGCATATAGCAAGAAGCCATGCTCGTTCTCAGATAAGCTACATCGATGTGGTCTTTAGGCAAAAGCTTAACGGCTTTGTCGTAACACAGCATCGCTCCTTCGTTGTCACGTTTCTGGAAAAGCTTGTTTCCTTCTTCTTTGAGCTCAGCTGCTCTGCTTATGAATATCTCCATGTCTTCGTCGAAGGCTTTTGAAACAGAGCGGTGGTTGGTTTTAGCTGACTTGCCTCCACCTCCACCTCCACCTCCACCGCCGCCGCCGCCGGAAGCATCTTTTGTCGTCTTCTTAGCTGTTGGCTTTCCCATTTAAAGTTCGATGATGAAACAGAGGAATGAAACAGAGGATTAGAAAAGGTATTGACTTTTGTTGTAAGGAAGGAAGGAGAAGAAGCGTTTTATGTACCAAATGTGAATTTTTGTTGAAGTTTCAAAGAAAGACGACACGATACGAGAGAGGTGGAGTGAACCCTAATCCACCAATAAAATAGTGATTTTTTAATAAATAGATAAAATAAAATATAAGAATTTGTTTGTTGTAATTTATTATCAAAGTGACGGCATGGTAATGGGACCAGACGGAGAGTCTTCGTTGTCTTTTGCTGGACGGCATAGTCTTTTGGGACCGACCTCACGGGAAGTCTTCGTTGTGTTTTGCTGGAAAATATGAAAAGTTTTTCCCAACTTTAATCTTTTTTTTCTAAGTGTTTAAATCAGCTAATGCGCTTAGCTTGCTGCTTCAATTATTAGTATAGATTTTTATATAATAGGGCTAAATACGAAAAATAATCAAACAAGAGAATAATTCGTTTGCTTACTATACGTTTATTTAAATTTGAAGCCAAAGCTAAACCAGAACGCTTCCAATTTTAAAGCTATAATTTAAGAGCGGAGGAGATGACTAGATTTGTATTTTTGGCGATTTAATGCTACAATTAACGTTGACCAAGAGTTTTGTATAATGCTAACGTTTGCAAGTTTGAAACCAATTGGTCGGTATTCAAGAGAAAAACAATTGGTCATTATTATATATGGGCTTATAATAAAAGGCCTAAGTATCTGTTGGCCCAATAAGGATTTTTCTTCGTTTTGGTTTTTATACACAATAGCTCTAGTGACGTCGGTTAGTTTAATAGCATTTATGTTTGTACGTTTCACAAAAGATGCGTACATCAATATCTTGGAAGAAAAAAGAAGTCATTTTGCTTGAGACGCAAGAAACGTAACAACCTTGTTGACATACATGAATTAGAAAGTAGTAATAGCAAAAATAAATTAATTCATGCAACTTCTTTTGACCCTGGAGCTGAAGGGTCTGAAGATATAAGGCTTGCCGGCATAACCGAACTCAGTTTTGGCTCCAGCTGGCAAAACTACTCCATTAATCAGAAGACACGTGTTTCCTTGTGGGCGAAGTAGCCATGGCTTGACAGGATTCACAGGAGCAAACCCTCCGCATGAGAGAATCACCTGCTTCTGAGGACAGTTACACGTGTTGACCACCGTCACTTTCCACTCCGGTTGTCCGGCAATTTGTCTTCCCGTCCTCACCGCACCGATCTGGAGGTCACTGACAGAGCAGCGGCATTGTCCTGTGGGTTATTATCCTTTTTATCAGTTTTGTAACTCTTTGTATATGAAAAAAGAATGGAGACATGGACATGCTTGTAACATGTATATATGTAAGAGAAAAGACATCCTAAATATATGAAAGTGTAACAATGTCTTAATATTTGAAATCTCATTCCAGATCATATATTTCATTTATATGATCCAAAGAACGGAAAGCATCAAACGAAAAAACGGATTAAGCATCACGTGATGATGGCTAGATATTAAGATTAGATATAAGCACTAAACGCATGGATTTTCTGAGATATATGCAAAAAAGCCTTTTAGAGATTCGATTACACTACCTTGAGTAACCATAGATAGAAGTAGAAACATAAGAAAATACTTAAGAGCAAATGCCATTGTTATTGTGATTTTGCTTTTAAGAGATGGAGAGTGAGAAAAGAATCTGTCAAGTTTATATAGCTATTGCATATGTTAACGTTTAAGTGTCTCTTGCTTCCGTAATTAATAACCAATAGAGTTACATTACAAAAAAAAGGTTCATAGGTTCTAATGAATTCCAGAATTGTAACTCTATTGGTTATTAATTACGGAAGCAGGAGACTTAACGTTAACATATGCAATGACTTTTCTCAAAAAAAAAAAAAAAATGCAATGGCTATATAAAATTGACAAATTCTTTTCTCACTCTCCATCGCATAAAACAAAATAAACAAACACAGTTGCATTTGCTCTTTGTATAAACACAATTAGTAAATCATGATTAAAAAAACACAATTAATAAACAAACGGTAACCTTGTAACTAAATACTCCATCAATTCTATAATATAAGATATTTGAGAGAAAATTTGATTTTTCAAAGTAAAATATTAGTTTTTTAACTTTAATGAAAATTAATTGACTAATAATATTGTACTGTTACGTATTTGTTAACTCAATTTAAAGTTATATTATTAATAATATTTTTTTATAAAATAAATCATTTAATCCTTATAATTAATCAAAACATATTTTTATTATGAAATGGATGGAGTATTTATAGACTCTTTGGCAATGTATCTTAATTACTTGTTGACTGCTTGTAAATGGCTCATGCAGTCATGCCTGGTCAAATATCTTCAATTCCATTTATGACATTTAAAGTAACGGAAGGTGTTTAATCTCTTTGCTCATTACGTGGTTACTGTTTTTATTTGTACTATCATTCATGGAGAAATTAAGCTACGCATGTTGACCAGTGCTTGGATAGTTTAGATGATCCTGAAAGTGCAGTTGAAACAAGTGTTGTTTTTCTAACGGCTTAGATGAAAGTGTAAAAACAAATATTCCTTCTTCACATATATTAAAAGAAATAAACTTTAAATTATCAATATATTGTTTTTGTAATATATTAATCCCATAAATTTTGGCCAACAGTATTTTAATAAATATTTTGAAGTTCGCAATTTAATATTAACTAATACACTACAAATTGTGAAATATGGATTTTTTAGAAATAATTTTTTTCTCTAAAACATGTATTTTCTCCGTTTCAAAATAATTGTCATTCTAGAGAAAAATTTCGTTTCAAAATAAGTATCGTTTTAGAGTTTCGAGTAAAAATTATTACTTTTATATGATATTTTATTTTTCTATTTATTGAAAAGTGGTTATGTGTATATGTAGTGTTTTTATCTTGAGAATATGTAAAATTAAATCTTTCCTTCTTATGTGTGTAAAAATCTAGAATAAAAATTAAAATGAGACGGAAAGAATCCCCTATATATTAATTGAGAAACATTTGAAAAGATGTAACCTCAAGTTTGTATTAATTAAAAAGTAACCTTGCTTAGTTGTCAATCAATTAGCATATCAATTAAACTGACGTGACGGCTTTAGGTTCAATTGAAATTTGCTAGGGAAAAATAATTAGAGACGCATATAACGCATGTAACATAGTTTATATATTTATATATATCGCACACATGTAATGGAAGAAAAGGAAAATATACGATTTGATAACGATTTGCATATATTAACTATAATAACTTCATTCCTTTTAATTTATGGAAGTGTATATGTAAAATGG